TGCTGTGCTGTGCTGTGCTGTGCTGTGCTGTGCTGTGCTGTGCTGTGTGCCCCCCTCCTGCTGTGGCTCTGAGCAGGGCTGCCCAAGGCCTTTCTTCCTTGTGTTTTCTTCCTCCCTTCATTCTTTTCCCTGTGGAAAAGGATGCAAATAGGTCGTTTGTTTTTATGTCTTAAGAGAGAGGGGGAAGGTATTGATGTATTACTATGGAAAGCTGGCAGCCTCCCTTGCTCAGGCTGTAGCCGCAGCATTCGCTTCCTCACAGTTTCCAGCTCCCGCTCTGGCTGCATTCCCTGAGCTTCTCAGACTTCTTGGCCAAACTTAAGATTGAATTGCTCAGGGCTCCATGAGGTCACTGTGTCTATGGGTGCAGCTCTGGGACGTCCTTCTGGGCACCCACCAGCTGTGGGTTTTGTTCCTCTATGCTTCTCACAGGGCGAACTGCTCTGAGTACTTCCCCATCTTCCTCTCTCTCCTCTGGGTTGCTGGGATCTTCTTCCATCAAGGTAAGGGGCAGCAAGATGAAACGCACCCCAAGGCAGCTGTGCCCGTCTGCATCCCCTGAACACCCACGGGCCAGTTCCCCCCCGCCACGGCTCTCCCACGGATGCAGCCCCCATCCTGCTCTCTGCTGGCCCTGCAGGTGTGGCTGCAGCCTGCGGTGTGCTGTACCTCCATGCACGCTTCCGCTACTTCCGGGGCTACATGCAGGCTGCGCAGGGACGGTGAGTGCCCACAGCACAGCCCAGAGTGGGACGTGGCCCAGGCGTCACGCTCAGGGCTGCTCTTCCCTCCCCACCCACGGCTGACAGATTTCCTCACAGGTTGGGGCCGCTGTATGCCAGCGCCCGGCTGCTATGGCTGCTGCTGGGGCTGGCGGTGGCTGGGCTGCTGGCACACTTCCTGCCGCCCCCGTCCTGCCCATGGATGCTGATGTGGCCCCTCAAGCTGCTCCGTGCCCACTGAGCAAAGCCATGGCCGCCTGGAGTGCTCGGCTCAGCCCTGGTGTGATGGTCAGTCTCCTGTCCCACTGCCCACCTCATCCCTGTTGGAGCGTCACAGAGCGGAGATGCAAGAAATAAATGCCTGTTCTCAATAGGTATCATCTCTCATTGCCGAAGGGGATTGGGGACAGGGGGAGAATGTCACAGGCTGATGGGTCCCATGGGAAAAGCTGCTGTGATCAAAACTTGGAAGTGGGTGTGAGCTTGTCTAAGACCTTATCCAAACTGAGAGGAGGGGTGTCCAAATGGTAACGTCTGTGCTCGTCTCTGTCTTTAATCACAACATCATTAAGGGTGGAAAAGACCCCCTAAGACCCCCCAGTCTAACCCCAGCTTCCCCCCACCATGCCCATAACCACGTCCTGCAGTGCTGCGTCTCCACGGTTCTCAAACACCCCCAGGGATGGTGACCCCCCCCAACCTCCCCGTGCAGCAGTGACACTGCATCACCACTCTGTCAAAGAAAAGCTTCCTATTATCCAACCCGAACCTCCCCTGGTGCAGTGATGGCACCTCAGCCCTGACCTCCCCCCACCAGGACTCTGCCCATCCACAATTCGTATCTCAGCTTCTCCCACAACCCCAGGTGCTGCTGAAGCCACTGTTGAGCAGAGAGCTCTTGCAAATTCACAACACATTTCCTAAGAACCATTTCACAACTGCACTTAGGAGGTGCGGGCGCGTTCCTTGCTCCTAGCTGAGCAAAGAGCAGATGAAAGCTTTTTTATTCCCAGGGCAGGAAGCAGGGACGGCCCCAGCTGAATGCCAGCCCACTCCCAGCACCTCTCACAGCTGCACCAAAGGTTTAAATTTTGCTTTTATTACAGTGCACGTTATTTTATATATTTATATATAGAGATGTAGTTGAAAAATCAAATGTATCCAATAATAAAAAATACAGCACGTTAAAGTAGTATAATGCATTCCAGTGTATAGCTGAAGAGACATTGGGATTTACACTAATCCCTACTATTTTTGAACTGGGCTACTTCTGCTTTTTTTTTATTTTTATTTTTCCAAAAAATTCACACCAACCAGTAATAGTTACTTAAAAAGCTGTTTTCTGCACTCAATCTCAAGGCATGAAGACACTGGAGACTTCACCATGAGTTAAGGGGCTGTGTTCAATGCTGGCAGGCACAGTGTGGCGTTTATTTTTTTCCCTGCCCTACTCAGAGCTCCAACCCCCTTTTGGATTTGTCCCTCCTCCACCACGGGAGGGTCAGTCCTCACCCTCAAGAATCTACAGCCATGGTCAGGATCAGTGCCTGTGCTACAGTGATGCACACGTTGATCCCTGGCTGTTCCCATCCCAGCGATCCTGCACCCATGCATCAGCCTGCAAAGCAGGGGCAGGATAAAGCTGTCTGAATCTGGCCCTCTCCGTCCCCAAACACAGCCACCATTCCCCTTTCTTGGGCTGAAGGTGCTTTTAGTCTCCATGACTGCTAAAGCTCATCCCAACACTGAACGGCCCCGCACACTGACAATGCGCCCACAGGAGGAGCGGTGAGCACCTGGGTCTTGCCTAGGGGAGCAAAGCCACCCCTTTGCAGGGCAGCTTGGTTTTTGCTTTTTTTCCTCCTTCCAGAGGAAAGTCTGTCCAAGCCCCGCAGCACCAGTGCTGGCCTCGAAGCCAAGGTGTGGAGGGCTGTCCGGTGCCCACAGGTCAGAGTGCAGCTCCTCCCAGCAGCCGGGTGCCACCTCGCTGGCATCGCGGTCCCCGCATCTCGGCCGGCTCAGGAACGAGGAAGAGTGGGGGGAGGTAGAAGGACCCGGGCGCTACGTGTGTCCATCCTTCAGCATGCCTGCTTCACTCTGCTTTTTTGATAAAAATCTGAAAGGAGAGGAGAGAAGAAAGCAGTCGTGTAAACGTGGCCTGTTACACAGCACGGAACGGTGCGGGATGCTGGAGATGATAAGGCTGGGGTGGTCGCGGCGGCAGAGCAGCGCACCTCGCTCAGGATGATCCACACTGGGGAGTCGGTCTGGATGGAGAGGCGGATGGCTTCCAGCGGCCCGAAGGATGGGTCCACCTCGCCCTCTGCAACACCCTTGGAGAAGGAGCCTGGCGGGAGAGCACAGGTGAGGTGGGGCTGGCAGAGCAGGGGACTGGGCACACAGGGCCCAGGCATCAGGGAGGGGCTGAAACCAACTGAGAAGCCATCAGTGAAGCACAGAGTGCACTCTGCTACACTGAGAGGAGCAGCACCCATCAGTTAGAACAAAATGCAGACAGAACAAGTGCAGACAGACTGATGCAGCACTGTGCTGTAATAGACAAGAGACAGGGTAAGGCACAGGAGGCAGTGCTTCCTTCCACAGCGTTAGCAAGCATTCAGCCTGTTGCTATGTCCCATTTTGGGAATAATTTGAAAAAAAAAAAAAAAAAGGAAAAGAAAAAGGAAAAAATCACACTCAATACTTGTGCCCTATTTTCCAAAGAAAGAACAGCTTTAAGTCATGTGAAGATGAGCACAGGGGATGCATGCAGGGTCTCCTCCCTCCCATACCTATCTGGATGTAGCCATCGGCTGTTCTGTGGTATCTGACAGCTGTACCTCTTCCCTCCTGCAAGGTTTCCTTGTCTGACTGCAGGCTCTGCAGGATGGAGAGGAGCTCTCAGCTCAGGACCAGCAGTGAGAACCACCCCAAAGCCCCAGGCAATAAAAGCAACCCCCAGAGCCACCCCCAAAGCATCCCTGGCTATATGCAGGTCTCAGCACTCTGTGGCACCTTGTTCCCCTGCCCAGCACAAGGAGCTATACATCCTGCTCCAGCCCTTCCTTTGCAGCCACCCCATCCACCTGAGTATCCTCTGTAGGCAGCTCCATCCCAGCTCCCAAGGCGATTCCATACCAGGGGATCAGCTGCTCAGGCTGCCAGCACCTCCCAGAGGCACTCAAGGTTCTCCTGACAGTTCTCAGTGGCTCTCCCTTCTCCATCCTCTTTTTCTTCCCCCTCCACCCACATCTCAGCTCTCACTAACACACTTACATCAAATGGCAAAACTTCCACAGTGGTATTGAAGAGTTTGTCTTCAGGGTGCTCAATGTTCCCACTGCGGAAGAAGAACCTGTGACAGAGACCAAAACCACAGAAAACTACATTGAGCACAGGGAAGTGATGACTTTTATTCAGGTGAGCCATCAAACATCTCAACCTAAGAGGTGCAATTCCTAGAAAGCACCTGGTTGGTAAGGACACCTGTACCAGATGGGTACCCTATGGGTTGTTCCTAAGTGCAGGAAAGCAAAGGGTTCCAGCAGACATGGACCCACCAAAAAGGGTCAAGTCAAATCGCCCTCCCCCTGGCAGAGCACTGCTCCCTCCTCCCAGGGAGCTATAATGGGCATGGGCAAAGAATTCAGCCCAAAGGGAGAGCCAGGAGAACACGAGAGAAGTATCTCCTCACACTCTGTGCCCACCCGGTGTCCCCACCCGTGCAGCCCCCAAGCACTGGCCTTTCAATGCGGAGTGGTTTGAAGAATCTGAATCTGATGAAGTCTCCAGCGGTAGGTGTGAAGGCCCAGAAGAAATCCTCTCTCAGGTAAGCCTTCTCCAGGGTGAAGTGCTGGTAGGTTTTCAGGCTGGTGCTCACCTCTGCAGGAGGGTTGACGTGCTCCTTTCGCAGGGCATGTTTGCCAAAGTCCTTGTCCTTGACGGAGGCAAAGCAAGAAAGCAGGAAAGGATCACAAGCTGCTCTCAGCCATGAGGAATGGGGTTTCCAACGAGGCAGTGCAAATTAAAAGCTCTTGATTTGCGCAGTGAAGAATGGAGCACTGCTGCTCCCTGTGTCTCAGCCAACAGCTTGAACACAAGTTCCAAATGTCACAGAACTCTGCGCACACCAGCTCTCTGCCAGGTGAGGGGCAGCTTATCAAAGGCCTTACACCATCTAATTTGTTTGCAGTAGCAGAGGGGATGTCTCCACTATGGGGGTCAGAGACTGCTCAGTACCCACCTTCAGCTTTTGGATCTTCCCAGCCAAAGAGGAGTGGGTTCCCACGTGCTGGAAGAGCGAGGGCTTGAAGCGGATCCTCAGGTTTGCCTTCTGCCTGTCGCAGTGCTTCTGAAATGGGAAAATCCCCCATGTCACCACCTCACGTGCCAGCTTCCAGCATCAACAGAGGAACCCCTGAGGGAATGACTGATCTCAGAGACACAAAGGTCACCACCAGGGTCTGGTGAGCAGCTGGGGCTCACAGCCCACTGCCACGTTTCTCATTGCTAAGCGCATCCTGGCAAACGATGAGCAGATCTCTGGGCGATGTGAAGTAGGGACAGGCAGAGAATTCAGTTTCTTTTGTCCTTGGCTTATCTGGAAAGCCCTTTCCCTATGACTCAGAGCTCAGGATCTCTTATTTCTGAGGTGACAGTAAGTTCTGGGATATTTAGAGCCTAAGCTCACAGGCAGCAGTCACAGTCTCATCACTGGGCAGTTTTCAGTCTATTGGCAGTTTTTGTTGGGTGCTGCCAAAGCCGTTGGCTGCTTCGTGTCCATCCCACCACGTAATGAACTCGGACGTGCAGCTCTGCTGCAGCCACTGCTCTCCATGGGGAGAGAGATGACGGGGAGGGAAAGGATAACAGCCCCAAGAGCACAGAGCAGAGCCATGAGGAGGGGAATGGCAGCAGTGGGCCTGCGCTTTCTGTGTTTTGTTCCCCTTCCTCCGACTCACCTGCCTGGCACCACTGGGTACAGTGAAAGGGGGGGGTGACACTGCCACCATCCCTGAGCTGTGAGATCCTAGGCACACCCCTGTGAGCTGCCAGCAGATAATCCCCTAATCAGCTCACGTTACATCAGAAAATTAAAAGCAGCCCTGCTCATTGCCAGCGACAACAAACGCGGCCCCGCAGAGCAACCGTCAGCTCTCATCTCTGGGTGGGCAGAGAAGGGGGAAGGGGAGAGGAGGAGGCTGTGACACCTCCTGGTTTCTCCTCTCTTTTACTACTTCTGCTAAAGAGGCATTCGCTTACAGCAGCACTGACCCAGTGAAGCCAGGACTGGGCTCAGCTGGTGGTAATAAGGCCATCCTTTTCACACAGCTCTG